TGAAGAGGGGAGTGACGGAACAGCTTGGTGGCACCTGGCATCCAGCCAAGGTCAATCCATCACAAGAACCAAATCAGGGAAGCCGCCGCTGAGAAGTTACCATGCAGAAAGGCCGGTTCCCACTGTGAAAGTCAGCCAGTGCCGCTCAGCGTAATACCCTGCTTTCAGTCCCAAAACTTCTGTTCGAGCAAAACCACTCGCCGTGTGGAATGCCTGCTTCACTTACGTCTTGGAGACAAGGTCATGCAACAGCTCTGCCCATTCTGAGAGTAAATCAGAGTGAAATGGAAAACAGGTTGCAGAAATCAGTGAGTTTCAAAAAAATTAAATTAATTTATAATTTCAAAAGAATTAATAAAAATTCCCACATAACAATACACACGAGATGCTGGTATGGGCAACCATCTTATCTAAGTCCATTTCAGCCACGAGGATAGGGATAAATACGTAGTTTGGCACATGCTTTGCCTTGTAAAGCTCTCGCTACTTTAAGCAGAACCTTGAGATTGGGTGGAAAAATATCACCTCTATGGTGGCTATCTCACTGTAGAGACAGCCTTCTTACAAGTCTTTGAAAGATTCATAATTCAGATGTTTTCAGCGATTCCTTCAGGATTTCAGAAGCTCAGTTCCTTGAACATCCGTCTGTAGCCGGCAGACAGCCCCACACCCGCACAGGCCATCCCACTACAGCGTGTCCCAGGAACACCCAATCCACGCAGGGCTCCCGTCTCTCCGGTGACCCCGAGCCGTGCTAGCAGCCACTGGGAATGCAGGTAAGATCGTTCCAGCTATACTGATTAAAAGCTTGGTCTAATTATAAGCAGACTCCTGATCTCCCAGGGTGGAGGTTCGTCGGCAGGCCACCTCACGGAAGTTACATTTACATGGCAAACAGCACGGTAGAGAGGGAAGACAGAATTTTGTTCGTGCCCCAAGAGGATGCTCTACAGCAAGAGTCAGGTTCAGCATACTTGATAAGCACCTGATGTAATTTGAAGCTCCTGGTCTTTTAGGAATCTTTTATGCATATTTTCTTAACCGATTTGAATCGGGTACAGTACACGAGGCAAGAAGCCACGCTAAACTAGAGACAAACGAAAACACAAAAAAGCTACCCGTGAAAATAACCCAGTTTTAGCAATAGCGGGGATCCCCTGGCATAAATGCTATGTATCAAAGCAGCCTAACAATCACGGCAAAAGAGGGTGCGCGTTCAGTGTCACGCAGTCGGTGCAATGGCCTCTCCGTTCATATACGTTCATATTCGCCACGCTGATAAAAATATTAGCATTGTTGAGCAAAAGCTTTGCGAAAAAAAGGTCCCTGCCTGGTATGGAACATGCCAGTGGGAAGGATGCGGAAGACACACAGCGTGCATTCAGCTGCCGTTGGAGCTGCCAGAAAAGCATCCCCGTTAGCCAGATAGCACCCGGCGAACACAATGAGTAGATTGACTTTCTGGGAGGAAGTATCTGACAAAGATGTATGGAATAGAAGACAGAGAACAAAGCACTTCATTTTGGTGGAAATGTGTTCGCCGTACTTGTTCAGAGTTGGTCTACGTATTCGGAATGGACTGGAACAATCCAGTAATTTCTGTAGAGTGCCTGAATTGCCCAATACATTTCAGGTCGAATAAGGATCGCTGACGCTTTGGCTGTAACCCACGGGGTTTCAATTTGGTGACTGGAGGCGTCTGATCTGATGAGGACAAACGAGTTCTGTCTAACAATGCTGTTCGCTGCTTTTCCTGTTTCCCGCCACTATTTTATACTTACCAAGAATACTGTAATTTCCCCTTACAGTACGGCATAAAAATGATTCTCACCAGAAACACTAACGGCTCTAAAAGCGTGGCTTCGTCTGGCAGATGTACCTGGCTGTCCGGAAGGGAGTTTTAAAGGTGAAAGGCAACACTTCAAACTCTCCAAAACCACTGGAAACCCAACGAGAGAAGCAACTTTGCAGAGCCTGACTTTTCACCACGGTAGGCAGCCCCGTCACTCCTCAAACCGCCAGGCTCCGGCCGGACTGCCCCTGAGGGCGAGGAGCCCCCCC